GTTCTTGCGTTTGATGAATTAACGTAAAGCATGATGTTCTGCTATGACGATGCCCATCACATAACAGACGAAAGATCAGCAATGACTCATGGGGATTGCATGGCGGTACGCCGAGGACCAATTCGCACAGATCTACAATCACATTACCAAGGTAATCTCCTTACAGCTTCCGGTGAAACCAACTTATGAATCCCAGCCTTTCTAAAGAAATGTAAGGTACTCCAGCATAAATAAATTAAGAGATTCTTCGAAAACCAGTTTTTCTACATTTACAACAGGTGAGCCCGAACCAGGATAAGTAGCTTTCTGCCCGGACATATGTATACTTCATCATTAAGTAAAACTATTAGTAGACGTATTGGTGTGAGTATTTAAGCTTACTAATTGAGCTTGTGAAGTTCAACAATTTTTTGAAGCATTTCATTAGTTTGTAGGTGTTGAGGTGCAAAAGGCTGGTCACGGATGTACTCTGTGTCGACGTGCTCTGTAGGGCTGTGGTTCCCGGCCTCAGACTGTACTATGTAGGCACCTAATAGTACATAGATGTGGAAGGAGCAAGGCAATCTGGAAGAATGAAAACAATACACTAAATAAGTAAATAAAAGTTGCAAACATCCCCAAAATGGTTAAACTAATTCATCTGGGGTAAAATATACTTGCCACTAATAAAAAGCTGATCTTTTTAATAAAGTTAAAGATAGCATAGCAAAAACCTGAACACATAAAGCTGCATCAAGCTAATTATATTTAAGTTAGATACAATCGCTTTCAAAAGGAAAGATTTCGAGATAAAAGTCATTACAATGATAGACTATGTACTAATAAAATGGATCTTAGAAAAGATTTTATGAGATAAGATACATTAGTAAACTTACTGTCCGCTGACTATATCCTGCCTAACCTGAAGACAAAGATAATAGCGAGTGAGGTCTTCTTTGATGGCATCCATGTCATAAGGGTAGAATTTAACTTGAAAATCGAATTGCCACCTGTCCTCTGAACGGATAACATATGAGAGAGGTAAAGATAAATAAAAATAAATCAAGCAGTAGTTAAAAAGTTAGAAAAATAAACTATATGATGAGAAATTTTAAGGAAAACCCAGATAAGCAAGTTTGTTGTCGGTAATACTGACAAAACGCGTGATTGTGCTTAATGATATTCGCCAAGTATCCGATTTTTAAAATGAATAAACAGAAAAAGATAAAAAGATTTATCAAGTTATGTAATAGATAAAACAGTTAAAAACTAAATAAAATCGATACTAATAATAGTTGCCGTTTCAAGCAATTGTTGACCATCCTTTGGAACTTAGAGTGCAAAAATAAAAGAAGTGAAACGAAGGTATGAGGACGAAGATTGTGTGACCTTTGGTATGATCGCGATCTCTTCTCGTTGTATTGAAGTTGATTAACCTTGTTTTCGCAACTTGATCGTATTATAAGAC